GTTCCTATATCACTACATGCTGACAGTTTCACAGTACATCATATCCATAAATTAGTGTTAACACATTTTGTTCCTACATCACTACATGCTGACAGCTTCACAGTACATCAAATCCATAAATTAGTGTTTATAAAACTTTGTTCCTACATCACTACATGCTGACAGCTTCACAGTACATCATAACTATAAATAATCAACTGTCAAATAGTCCATAGTCAACGGTGCCCAACCACCAGCAGACACTACCAGTATTATATCCAACTATTGTGCAACTATTACTATCATACACGCCATACATTAAAATAATGTTATACATATTCGATATTGCTAAATATTGTGCAAGAACTTCAGTGACATTATGATTACACCGTGGTATGAACAAGTTAGCTAGATGTCCGGATGAATCAGATTTAAATGTTCATACTGTGGACATTCTTCTACCATAAAACTCTGAGGCGTGGCAGAGTAAACATGCGATAAGCCAATCGCTGCAGTCATTGGCACGATCACGTGATTACCGGTGATGTGTTAAAGCTGCCACTACTAAATAGAATCAGCCTAACTATTTATAACATTCCTGTTATATGTGTTTATAATGTCTACCATGAACATGCTAGTTGTTGATTCTGAAGAATACTGCAACCACATGTGAACCAAATGTGCGAATTCATAATAATATGATGAAAATGTTTACGCGTATCTGTTATCGACTTAATTAGCTGATTACTAGCGAATGGCTGTGTTATGTCTGTCATCGTTTCGGTCCATTTGAGGTTCTGGACGGAACTCGACTCAGTGATTTGGAACTAATTACGAGATAACCGTCGCTATTCCGACAACTATTTCTGACAGTTTGGTATTCGCAGTTATTAATGTAGTGAACGATTAATCAAAAAAATATGACGTGTTCAGTACTTAGTGTGATTGGCTGTATGATTGAAGGCCACGCCTTAGAGTCTTAATACTTCTTTGTAAATGGTTAAGGTTTTGAAAGTGAATAAAGAGTTTTTAGTTGGTCTTGGCGAGTACACCACGACAGACGCAGTTCAGTCTTGGAGAGTCTTGGGGCAGTCTTGACGCAGTCTACAGAGAGTGTCTTGGGTCAGCCTTGCGATAGTCTTGGGGACTTTTGCCCAGGGCTCTGTGTCTTATAGAGTGCTCGACTGACCGACTAAGACGAGAGTTGAAACGTATTTTGTTGTGTGCGTATATTTGACTGTAAAGTTTAAGTGACTTTCCCGATCCCGTACCTCAAGGGGATGCGATAGAGAGACGAGACGAGACCCCCCCCCCGGCACGTGTGGAGACCCCAGAGAGAAGAATTTCCCCCTGATAATAACAATATTACAGGATCGGGAATCGGGTCGTGCTGTGACTACTTGTATGAAGTGTATTCGGATATAAACATGCAAATTTAAATATATAGCTATAGAAAATTGGCTGCCTTAAAATTGGGGATCAATCGGTAATCGGTAATAATGTAGTAGAATAAATTCCGAACGCGCCTTATGACTACTAGGGCGGTTTGTAAAATGAAGAAGACTTAGACGCTCTTACTCTTCAAACATACTGATGTGTGTGTTTAGTAACTGGTAACCATATGTTTCTAAACATTCCCAACATAATTGAATTGCATTTCTCATATATTCATTATCAGTCGTTTGTGTATTCAGGTGCTCAGTTCCCCGAACTGCTATATTAGCCATACGCGTGGCTACAAACACTTGAAGAACTTTTCTTTCGATGTCATTTAGACGAAAGTTGGATTCATAACCAGCAAGTACTGTTTTCCCTATTGCAAGGGGGTCGCCATGGTTGCAGTACATCATGAAATGAGAAATTGCTATGGCAATTTCATTCACATAGTAAGAATATTGTGTATCGCTAAAGTCCACAATGCCGTTAATATCATGATTGACATTTTTGTCACTATCCGTTCTTGGTGGTAACCGATTCTTGGAAACAATTACATTGTTTGGATTATAGTCTCCATGTATTATCCCTGGAGAAGAACAGAAAACATCGTACGTATTAATTTTATATAATTTACATTTGTTAAACCAACGTTACATTTTGGTGGCTGATACAGAAACAGTAGTCTGTGTATGTGTGCATATACATACTCATATCTGGATTGTTTAATATGAAGCTTCACTTTTCCCACTGTCAAAGATGCATTGCTGATACTGAGTTTATAGCTCTAATCTTCCCACTCGCAAGTGAAAAACAATAAGGTATCGTTTTTTTAGATCACCAACTATTTGACTATATCAGACATTGTTTTATATTGTGTATGTTGATATTTTGACAAAATGTTATTCTTTATGATAACTTTGTGAGGTCCTTTATGATGGTAAACATTTCCAAGAAAACAAAGCAACACATTACGTTTTAAAATTATTCTTAAATAGAAGTAACGAGCCGACGTACCTATTACTTTATAATCGCAAGCATATGTTCGATAAAATTATGTGTAACTCGATAATATTTATTCTTTTCACCTTTTAACAAGGGTGTAAGTAATTGTAATTGTAGTGAGAGAGGCAGAAATTGACAGCTTGTTGTCCGGCTTGCTAGTAATAAACTCTGATCACTTCAGGTGTGTATTTTTGGGGTCTAACCTAATATCTCCATAATGTGAAAGTTATCCTCCATGCTCGTAAGAATTACCACATTCACAATTTAAGGCAGAGATGCAGTTTATCTGACAGGTATTTCACTACTCCAAGTTTATGCATAAATTAACACCCAGGCTAGTTGTCTGTACGATTTTTGTAACACTGTTCAATCAAAAACAATGTCCCGACGGCGTTTTGAAGATAAACTAATTGTCAATCATTTGTGAAAATTACAAAACAAAAGGTCAAAGCATCTAGGAGCTATTTTTCTTAATGTTCTGGGATGTGCACTAAAAAGTAGCTGAGATAATTGCTAATTTGCATAACAATTCACTCAGTAAGAAGTTTGTTAATGCTCATAATTAAAATGGCTGTAACAGTTCCAAATTTAAATGTGTAATTTAGTTTAATTTAGTGGGGATCCCGTCCTTTCTTTCTTTCACCATGTTTCTTTTTGATTATTAATGTACAGCCTTGCTAATCTTGCTAATCATTCAAAAGAGAGAATGTTTGCACCTGTTATATTTTAAAATCGTTTTTGATTATTTTTCACTATTAACAATACCACAAAATGTTAACAGTCTATAGCCAAAACCGTTTGGATGATAAAAAGCAACAAAATAAAGTTCACTCCGAAGTGCCCACGAACCTGCATCTCTACCTTAACAGATATATCACTAGTACCTTTACGGAGATTCCCTATATTGGGAATGACTTGTTCCTTGAACGCAGATATGACCTCCTCTATCAGCTGTCTTCTTTTATCATTCTCGATTACATATAAACTCTTTTGCACAGACGTGACGTCATCTGACTTAAGCACAGCATTTTCATATTCAAAACCATTATAGTGGAAGTCCTATCAATTAAAATGAACATTGTGTTTATTGTCAGAATGTTCAGGATACTAGTATACAGTGTGTGTTTATCCAATAAGATATACATTTACATGTACATATAAACAATTAACATATACATATAAACAATATATATATATATAGGTTGGTTTTCACATATAACGTTGTTCGAATAGAAGATTATTTTAAGGTGCATACGTCGTCTTGCGGCGCGCGTTCAAAAATTATTTTACACTTGATTGTCTAGGTCGCTTGGGACCAATACAGAATAGGACAGTTATAAAATGTTACGAAACGACACAAATTGACAAATTGCCTGTACATGACGGTCAACCGTGTTCAAATGGACGTTATTACCAAACGCTTCAGCGTGGTATTAAGAATTTGTTTTCAGGGTTGGGTGATACCAAGGTTGAAAATGGTTGCACATATGGGTGTAATTCCTGGAATTGCAATAGAGAGGGTTCAGGCCGAAATACAATATATAGTGTTTCCATGTTTCGTCTGATATTTCTGTGGTATTCTGCTGCTGTAAATAATGCAAGATTTGTTCCGAAATTCAGTGTGTTGTGTGCACTCCAGGGTTATTCGTTTTTTCTCAAAACA